ACCTTTTAAAATTTATCGTTAAGTTTAACAAAACAAAAATAAAGAAGTCTGAAATACATTTCACTACCCTATGTAGTCAATCAGTATAGATTAAATTTTCAACCACTAGTTTATCACTTTGGGTACGCACCCTACATCACCTAAGACCACAGCTTAAAGATGTTAAGCCTCTGCAGATCTATCTCAAGTCAAAGTAAGATTCAGGTACGAAAAACAAGCCTTTGATGAGCTCGCAAAAATACAGCATCCAAAATACTGGCCACTTAGGAATATTTGGGCTAATGTGCATAAAATACTATTAAATATATTGGATTCTTAATACTTCCTCATTAAATTCTTATATTCTACTCCTTGGCTGACCTTTTCCCAAATTAGTATAGCATGTTTTATTAGTGCTGCATTGAGCCAGGCACTGCTATGCATTTTAACCATGCCATTTTAAACTACAAGCCCCACACCTACCAGTGAAGTCCACCTCAACAGAACCTTGTACTCCCACAGAGTTTAAGGCAGGAGGAGAAATAACACTTGGTTACAACACTGAGTAGATCAGCTAGACTTTCAGAAAAGGCTAAGAAAATTAAGTAACAAAACCCCAGTCATCTTAAATGGCACGTGACTTCCTTAAATCTCCGTAGACTTATTTGTAGGATGTAGTTTGTACCAACTCAAGAAAGCATTTCTCCAGTTATTTGCTCTTTGAGGCTGCTGTCAGGCTGGTCCTTTGATTAAACTAACAAATACATTAAAAAGGCATATATATGTAAATGAAGTAGATGTTTAAATCCCCTTAGAAAGTTTTAAAGCACTGTAATGGCCTTCACACAAGCAGTCCCTTACCTGAGGAGGCTGTAACTTAGTTGGAAAACACCTGCCAAAAAATACATAACTCAGGATAGGAAAAAGAAAGGGAGGTGCAGAACTGAGGCTAAGGAGGTGCAGAACTGAGGCTAAGGAGGCTAACAGTACTAAGGCAAGTGACTAAATATATGCCAGCTCACCCCCCCCACCCCCCCACCCCCCCATCTTCACTAAACAAGTTCATTCAGATTTTTAACTATCTGAATCAACCTACAAACACTAATTACTCATTGATTTTACAAACATATTTAGTGCCATATTTAGTAGAAATAACAAGTGTCATAGTGAACATACAATTGCTTTTTATTTTATTTTTCAGGAAAGCTGGTATGGAACCTTATGGCCAGCCAGAATCCATTATAGGAGATAAGGCCCAGGCTTAGACTGTGGACTGTAAAGTTTATTTTTTACTTTAATGAGCTTTGAACTGGAGTATAAATGTACAATTAAAGATATCTCAGTTGAAGTACCTAACTTAACCTTTGGTTTCTTTTCGGTTTCTATACTTCACATCTACCCACACAGTTCTGTTCAACAGCCATGTAGCCAAACATAGCCATAAATGTGTTCTCACAAAAGAGACTTCATTTTTTATTTAGAAATCTTGTGGATACAGCAGTAATTTCTACAAAAAGACAGTCAACTCCACTAACATGACACGTCTCACATGCTGTTAAGTTTCATAAGTTATGAAGAAAAAATGGCTGTCTCCTCCTAGCGAGGACTGCCCCTCCTGCCCCTAACCTCTCCAAAGACAGGTGTGCTATATTTTGGTGCATTTAAAACCAGAGAAAGAAAGGATGGCAGGAAACACAGTGAGAGTTGCTACTTCAGTAGCTATTGCAAAGCAGGAGTTTTGCAAAATTTAGCCAGGTTTTCAGAAGAATATACAAGGTCTATAATGGGTTTTTGTGCTTGCCGCATACCTTTTATTTTTGCTGTTATATCTGTTAGATACATGTATAGTAACTATCCATTGTCTTGAAGAGAACTGTTTCTTCTTCACTGACTCAGTGGAAGATGTAAAAAATTAAACTCTTTTAGTTCAAGGAATTAATTTTCAACCAGTAAAGCTGTCTAGACTAATCATGCTCATTATGACTGTACTGCAGTGTATAAATCTTATTAGGGACTCTAAAAAGAACATTATCAATTTTTAGCATTGCCTCAAAATCTGTACTCAGTGTACTTACAAAATTCTCAAAACTAGTAGATTTTAATTATTAATTTATTTATAGGTATTAAATGGGCTCATATTGTAGCTTTGGGTGTTCAATCACGTTGTGTTTATTTTTGTAGAAATTATACACTCACTTGACAATATAGTAAAAGGGTGGAATGCTTCACAGTGATCCTAGCAGTAACTCAGAAAAAGGACCACTTCTTCAATGCAAATCCGCTCAAGAAAAGCTTCTACACACAAAGTAAGATGAACCAGTTACTGCATTGTTTATTAAGTTTCACTTGATTCCTCCTGACAACCATTTAAACAATGAATGTTGGGAAATGTCCCTCAAAGAATCAACAACAATGGCTGGGATCAGAGCTTTTATATTTAGCTAATACTGTTTTTAGAAAGGAGAAAATATTTCTTCCTGAAGGGATTATAGGAAGTATTATAAAAGACACCTGCAAACAAAACAAGCAACAAAAGATCTCTATCATAATTGATAACACTTATCCTTTGTAAAAATCTGTGCTTCTTTAGAAATAAATATCACCTCTTTGCTATTGAATTTCAGAAGGCCAACAGGCCTGCTATCAAGAATAGTAAGGTTTAGAAATCCTGCCAAGAAGGAAGTGCTTTTGTCTTATGGATAGCCGCGCATTATTAATCAACAGTAAGTTCCTAACTTTTCTTTTGCCTATGCCAAACAGGACAGGCAACCTTTGAAACATAGTATCATCTTAATAGTGGACTGGACATTAACATCTACTTTTTTCTTTCTGAAAAGGAAAACTTTTCACTTAAAACACAAACTTCAAAATTTGACGAATTATTCAATAGCCAATGTAAAAGAAATGCAGAGAGTAATCAACACGAGGGGAGAAGTTTACAAAATGTGGTTTACAGTAGGAGCTTGAAAGAAGAAAACAATCACATGTAGAGCAACAGCCTTCATTCTTTCATCCCCGACCAGTTAAGTTTTCGTAAGCATAGACTGCCTAAAGTATTTATACATTGGTCAAGGTTCTCCAATTCGCTAGTAGATAATTCGGTCCTCTGTATGTGCCAAGCATACAGGTTACCTCCTTCTTTAGCTTTCTTCTGGAGCAAACCAGTTGGTCCCCTCAGAAAAAAGGAGTGTGTAGTTCTCAGGAGTTTGCTTCAGGGTCCACTCCCAAAAGGGAGTACGGACAAGACCACACCAATTTTGGCTCCCTCTGCTTATGCAGACTTCTCTAACGTTTTCCCAGCAAATTTTGCATCCTCAGACAACCTCACATACCTTTAAACCACATGCTGGGGCACGCAAAACACCCACGCAGTTTCTTGCTATAAAAACACCATGCAAGTGGGCTGCAACACAACCCTTACATTATTGTAAATGCACAGAACTAAGGAAAGGAGTTAATAATTTTATCTCAAGACATAGGACTCAAAGGATGCTCGGGCCACGAGTAGTATGTAGTACGACCACACACAGTGCAGTCTGCTGTAAAGGGGACAAACCTATGCAAATACAAACCCCTCTGCATTGCTTGGTCTAATGGCCAAGGAGCACTACACAGAAGAGATGATTTTGACTTTGTGGATATAAATCCTATGCTAGGAGAAGAGGATAAGGATTGCAGGACAGCCTGAGTTTCCAGCCAAAAAGAAAAGCACATATGCATTGTCCCAAGAGAGCCGAAACAGAGTAAGATATTCTGTCTAATAAGACAGTTAATGAGACTGAAGAAAATCTGGAAGCTGTATAAACAGTAGAAAATTAGTAGTATAGAAAAATGTTTATATTGCACTTTCAGGGAAGAATTTGTCAGGGCCTTAAAAGCCCACGAATACAAAATCTTAATATTCACTATAAGCAACTCCGTAACACACAAAAAACCCCAATTGCTTTAATTGATAGGTAAAATACATCACCTGCCTTTCTTCCCTGAAATGACATGCTTTGAAAAACAAACGCACACCTCAACTTTAACAACTTCACTGAACTAGGAAAAAGACTTTATCTTAAGAAGTGTTCTTATTAGTCCCTTGGACTGATTTTTTTTTTCTCTGTTTTCAAGAGTTCAGCATTAACAACACGATTAAACTGTTCAACCTTAAATGTCTTTGGTTTATTTTTAAAGAAGTCAAAACAAGGTCTAGATTCTGAATAAGCTATCTCTAAGAGACGAAGCACAGTTAGCAATAGCACCTTAAGAAACATTTCTGACTTGAGCATGACAGGTGTGATCCACGAAGTAATTTGTTTCTCTAGCCTCCATGATTCTGTATATTCTGTGATCCATGTTATTTTGATACAGTACTATCATTTTTTTTTGTAGCTTTATCCTTCTGCAATTTTTTACAAGGAGGATTAATAGCAACTGCAACAGAAAAATTACCTTGATGTCATATATAATCCTTTATCCTTTCATCATCATCAAAATCTCAGTGCTTTGTCCACCTTTCTTGTCTGCAGCAACTTATTTCACTTGTTCCTATTAAGGCTATTATATTCACCCTATTACTACTAATCTTTTCTTTGTAAATAGCCACACCTATTTTAATCCAAAATGGTGTGGTAAGCATTTGATTCTTTGTGGAAGTAGACACGTAATTAGGTTAATCTGTGCTATCTTTTCATGTGAGTTGATTGTTTCTTTACTATGGACATATTTCTTATAACAGCAATAAGCTTGCCAGATTGCTTGGAGGCAAATCAGAAGCAATTTACCAAGCATGTAGCTACTATGAACTGAAATCTTGACATAATAGCAAGCTGTGTATAGCCACTCCTACCTGCCAGTTATTACTCATGTTAGCTTTTTACTGACACATTAAATTTCAACCGCACCTTTCTTTCACAAACAAGCACTCTCATTCAACTCGGCTACATCTGTGACAAATAGCTGATCTTCACCAAAGCATACCGGAATCTAAATTCAGAACGCAGTGCAGAAGTCTTTGACAGTAGCAACTGAATTACCTGCACAAAGTCCAAAAACGTCAATGGAAGCAAGTCATCCAGGTGGCCAATATCTTTGGAGAAACGATTTAAGATTCTTCCTATAGAAACAGGGTTAGAGAAGAAAAAGAAAGTAAATATAATTCCTTAAAAGATCAAAATATCTTAAACACACCATATTTTACCATTTTAGTAACAGTAAAAAGGAAACAGCTGGAATCTAAAGATAAAAAGCTACTTTTTGAAACCACCATGAAGGGAATCATTTACAACCACCGCAATATATTTTGAAGAATACTTTTTTACAAATGCCTTTTCACCCAAATATGAACCCCTTACTTAAATTGCTAGGAAAAAATGAAAATGGGCTTTGAAGATAATAGTTCAATAGAATTTAACAGGTGAAACACACATGCGTTATATGCTTAACGCGTGCAGGTAAAGGTTTACAGTTCAAATTTCAAAACTCAAGTTCCATTCAGTAACATCAGCCACAATCTGTTCCTATCCTTGACTGACACTCAACTCACTAGTGCACGCATGTCCCAGATAGATCACAGTTGATCTAACTGATCCTTTTTAGTATTTCTGTTCCCACCCCTCCACCATTATATGTGGATTCAAATCGCAGGCATTTCTGAAACAAAATTTGAGATAGATTTGCATTCATGTAGCCTTACATTTATACTCATTCAAAACCTTAACAATACTGATCTTTATTAAAGCTAATAAAACAATTTTTAATCTGCTGTCAGTGAAGCATTTACACTTCTCTATTTTCCCAAGTTCTACTTGAGTGAAAAAATCAGTTATAGCAAGAGTTCTTTAATAATTAAAGTCACAACACTGCCACCCACAAGTGGATTAGTATCTTTCTCCATTAATCGATATCTCTAGTCACCAGGAAAGAAACTAAGCTAGGGATGGGAATCTGGCCTCTTCTAAGGTGTGAAATGCCCGTACATGCATTCACATTGCTTTTTTATCTACATATATCTTGATTCAATTATTACTTCTAACTGGTACAAACGCATTCACTGCATTGGCAACAAAAGACTTTTTTTTTTTTTTTTTTTTTTTTTCAAAGGAGCTCATTAAAATGAAAGTAGTTAAGTTTAAACAGTGTGTTGGAGATGTAATTCAGAGATTAAGAGATACTGAAGTAACTTCTGTAGCAACCATCATTCTACTTTTCTGTTCACAGCTGTCTCGGAATTATGAATTTTGTTGCATAACTTCGATTTCTTTTTTTAAGGGAATTTCTGTTCCACACCAGGCAATACCCAAATCATCCTCTCCTTGGGCCTAGGACACGACTCCAATACGGTGGCGAACAGCTTGTTCTGCAGTATTTTACTATCAAAGGCAACTGCCTTTTTTCTATTCGTAGAAATAGAATATTCTTGTTAGTTTTTTTTTTTTTATTTCTTAAGGCAATGTAAGGCAGACAACAGTAGAATTCATCCCATTTTTAGGCTTTGCACACAGAGAGGAAGGGTATATAGCAGCACAAGACTCAGCAAAATCTCTTTCATCTGTTTCTACTGGGAATGACATCTGGGGACATTCACTTTCACTTATTTCACGCTGGGGTAGATACATCAGAAGGAACTCCAAGGCAATTTTTTTTTAAAGTTTCCTTTTCCTGTGATTTCCTTACACAGAAACTGGCTGTGGAAGAGTGATTAACACATATTGTACGCATCCTGTAGCTAAAACTTCTTAGTATCCCTAAATATCACATTCCAGATTATTTTCAAATGAACTAAGACTTCGCTGGCAAAAAGAAAATAATTCAAAGGGGTTAAATGCTTCCTTCTGACAGAGCTTTCCTTAGTGGCCCATGCAAGAAGGGCAGAGGAGGGAAACAAGATGGCATAATGGCTTGGGCTCAGGGCATTAGCAACCTGTTCCCAGCTTTGCCAATTGCCGCCTGAGTGACTTCACTTTATTTTAGAGAGTGAAGACCAGAGCAAGGAGAAGTGACAGTGCCCAGCCCCTCTGTGAAACACTGTGAGACCCACTGATGACAAGCTGTACGCAAGGGCAAAGGATTATTCACAAAGCGAGCACACCCCACCTTAATCCTGCCTTAGAATCCCCCATTGCCTTTTATTTGTAGTGGTTTCAGACTGATATGAGAAGCTATTGCACAAAGGCCATCCCATGCGACACTGCTGGGAGGCAGCAAGGTCGCTCGGGCTGGCTGCTTTCCATGGCCGTTGTGCAGGTCAGGTCAACGCCGGCACCTCCAGGACTCAAGCGATACCTTCATGATCTCCCTCACCCCACAAGTGGGTGAGCACATTCAAACTTGTTCCTGGAAAAGCACTCTGCTTACTCTCATTTTGTATGGTAAGGACGAAGCCTTGAGGGCTAGAGGAGAGAAGCCATTTCAAAACGCTTGCTGTCGAAAGCAATTTTAGTTTCGGTTCCAGCAGCATCTCAGAGTTCAGTTCTCATTTCTATTGAAGAATGACCCATTAAAGTTGCTCAAGGAGAAATTTTGCAAATTTTGAGCCTGGGTTTTGGGTTTTTTCACCAATTGTTTAGAGGCTGTGACAATCTCCAGCCACCTTCTGAGAAAGTCTCATTGTTGCCACAAGAAAAGCTTTAGGCTGCAAGCACAATACAGATCTGTTCTGCCACTTTCAGGGGTAATAAGCCAGCAAAGATGTAAATGAGAGCTGCAGAATACTTGCCTTCATCCTGCACATCAAGAGCAACTGTGGCAATGTTCTCCTCCACAGTAACATCTCTTCCAGTGAAGTTCTTTGAGGAACATGCTCATGAAGGAAAACTTAGCTCACTTGAGCTGGCCTTCATAGTCCTCTGGTCTTACTATCTCTTCCATATATCCACTAACCACCAACTACTCCAGTTCCCATCGGTAATCAAGCTGCTAATTAATTGCCAAAACTGTATTTTTGGCAATCGCCTTATGAAATTGTTAAATATAACAGCGTTTCTACAGAGTGTGTTTTGACAGAGCTGCAAGCTGCCACTAGGAAAGTGGAAATTAATCTGACGTTATCAATAAAACATGAAAACATCTTTTAATCTGCCTAATCCTCTTTAAAATGTAAATACAGTAATTCTGGAAAATGACATGGACTAAAAGATGAGTGAGCAAAAGAAATGGTATATCAAAAAGACAAGCCTTGAAAACAGCAACCTTTTACAGTCCACCTGATACAATTAAAGCAATTTAAACAGTGGGGACGTGAATCAGGCGCTTCCCAAATAAACATTCAGGTGAATCCCTGGTAGCAGAACTTCATTTTTTTTTCAGTTTTGAAGTTATTGAAAGAAGACATTTATGGTCTGTTTAGTGTTTGCATATAGTAATTCTGGAAAATGACACCTGAAGTCATTAAGCCTAGGAAAATACCTCGCTTCTTGCTAAGAGGTCCACATCTCCCTCTCATAATGCTAATCCAGTGAGCATTAATGCTTTTCTACTGCTAAAAGCAAGCAAACAAAGCCACAAGCCTGAGCCCTATTTTTGTTGTTGCTGATTTTCAATGATACAGTGACCGTCTAAGAAAACACAGGCCTGGAGATATATTTCAAATCTTGTTCATATGGATATAACTGAACTGGCATTTTATTCAGCACGTCCTATGCAGAAGCAAGCTATGGTAACAAACCACTAAAGCAAGCAAGTTCCCTCACCATATACCAGAGAGAGCAACGCACCTCCAAGCAGAAGCGCTGTGCTTTGGAAATATCTGCAAAATGCCCCATAGCCATCGTGATATTGCATCCAGAGTGATTGCTACATTTATAAGGATGTCTACAAGTAAATGAGGTCTGTTTCGCAAGGTATGAAGAAACAACTGTTTCCACTTACTGGAAGCACAGTAAATCAGTGGCTTGCTTATGCGTTACTAAGCATGCAAGAGAGAACATTCTAGATATGAAAGTTAAAGTAGCCATTTTGAGTCAGGACTCAAAATGCTTACAGTTTTGACTACAGTTTCTACCAGCATTTGCAAACCTAACTTTTGAGGATGGTTCTTCAGATTAAAGAAACTGTTGCACCTGCTATTCAAGAAAGGCAGGACCTGCACAATTCACCAAAAAAAAAAAAAAAAAAAAAAAAAAAAAAAAAAAAAAAAGAGAAATGAAGAAATTGTTCTCTCCAAAACTTCTATTATCCTTCTCTCCCAAATTTACAGACTATTGACATCACCTTCCCACAATACTTCACACTTCCAGAAAACTCAAATTCCTTACGTGAGCATTTCTGTGATACAGATACCTGCCATGAGACAGTAATTCTTAGATCTAGTACAGTATTTTCAACTTAAAAAAATTTTCAAGCTCACTTAATACTTGCACCCTTTACTCACCCCAGCGAGTTTCAGTCTGGGCTTCAAAAGCAAAAAGAAAATACTACATCTAAAACTTACAATGCAAAGGAAATCTCATGAAATCACTAATAAAAAAGTCTTTTAAGAAATCAAGAACTAAGTATGCCAATGTTACAACAGCATCCAAATCTGTGAACAGTATCTGCCGTTTTAATCATTCTCTGGCTTCCATGCGGTATGCAGTGTCAGTAGCAAGCTGCAAAAGGGAATGTGCTCTCTTCAACAGTCCTATGTTTGTTTTTACATCAAATAACTCAATCAGAACACACACTGTTGTTAGATTTCTTCCGAAGTAATTAAATAACTATTCAATGCCAATTAATCACAGTTAAATAAGGGTCTGTCACCAAAGTGCTATGTACACATTTCAGACTATTTAATGGTCAAATACTTGGTAGTATCAAAGTTAAACAATGATTCATTAAACCTACTCCACTACACAATAGTTAGGCTAAACTTGAAGTGAAAGAATCAAACCTCTTTTGTTCTCCATGAAAAAGACATCAAACCTCAGTATGTGATATTCTTTTCTGCCTCACTCTGTAAACTGCTTTAATTGCATGAATCAGAATGTGTTCAGGTGCTACATACCCACTTTGCTTCTGCAGGTGCCTACTGATACTTTGGAATAGATGTTCAAACCTATCATCCAAATAATGAAAACACTTGACAGTGTGCCACACCTATTTAAGATGTTTATTCATACTTCACGATGAAAGAAATAT